ATTGTATATAGTCTATCCGGTGTTTCATACATAAGAACTTATTGCATCATAACTTATATCATATATTTGCTCTAATAATTCTCTAGTAGGTCTTTTTGAATTAGCTATATCATATTTGGACAAAATAGTGGCTCGTTGTGTAAGATGAATGTATATAAATGTAATTCGCAATCAATGCAATTCGAAATCGATGAATCTCACTGTCTTATGTATACAGTATTGTACCGGTATTGTATTGTAAAGTAATGTAACGTTATGTAATGTTTTGTAATGTAATCTATCGTATGGTTTTACGATGTGTCGTAATGTCATATCATGTTATGTATTGTAAATATCATATAATCATGTCTTGTAATGTCTTATGTAGTATAATGTCATATCATGGCATGTATTGTAACGTATTATATCGTCATGTATTGTAGATAGTATTACGTCAAGTATTGTAATGGTTTGTATGTGGTGTAATCATCTGATCACGTCATGTATATATGTAAATATCATATATCATCATGTCTTGTAATGTCATACGTATATAAAGTTGTCTTATTGTAATGTGTTGTATTGTATTGTAATGTCTTGTCATGTCATGTATAGTAATATAATATAACGTTGTGTATTGTACGTAGTATAACGTCGTGTATGTGATGGATTGTGTGTGGTGTAATCATCAGATCACATCATGTATTGCAAATATCATTCAACATCGTGTCTTGGAAAGCAATAATATATGTACTGTAACTGTAGTTTATGGCTGACTCGATGACCGCAAGGTCTTTTCGCCATACCCGTGCATTATATTAACAAAGTTATAAAGTTCTGTTTAATTTTCCCACCGTTTGATTTATCCTTGTATAGCACAAATAAAAATGTTGAAATCTTGAAAATCTTGAAATCTTGAAATCCTTTCAACATATGATATAGTATTAGTAACCCGATATAACGCAATATGACAATGTCAGCGAGTCAACTCTAACTAAGTCTAAAGCAAAGGGCGTATGCCGGTAAGACTGTCAATGAATCAACCCAACCCAACCCATTCGCCATTGGCATTGCCATGGCATTCGTGACTACGTCCGTTTTCTTCACCCGATATAGAAAGAAAATATATGACAGTACGATTTAGTAGATTAATTAGAAGTCCGTTACCAATTTTGGTAGCTGTCGGAGACGACGAGGCCTTGGGAGAGTATTCACAAACAGACACGGAAGTTCATTGTTGCATTTTGACTTGAAAATCGACTTCACAGAATCGCTGCTTCTGCAGCTGTTGTGCACTAGCGCCCCCTATAAACAAACCGCAATATCAAACCGGAAAATGGCGCCGTAGTTCGTGGAGCAGCGATTGCGACGAACGAAGAAATCAGAATCGATTAAAATTAATATCGCGCGCCTTGACATTAGGAATTGCTTGCGCATCCTTACGCGCGTTAACTCGGTGCCGGTGTACGTGTCAAGAGAAGGCGATCGCGTTGTAAGTATACTGAAAAACAATGATAATCGCTTGCTCGTTCGTGTGTATTTTTTTAGCCGCCAATCAACAACGATAATTTTGTGCGCCACATCCCCGTGCGTGGTACCAACAGTACCAGTGGGCGCGCGGTCATAGTCTCATACTTACTTACTGGCGTTTTATCGTTAATATCATATACGATTGTGTAATTCGCTGCATAGTATTCGTAGTGTCGGCTTGTGTAGTTTGCTGGTTCAAACACGTATTTGGTTCTGATCGTTGGTTAATGTTTTTTCGAGTATCGTAATAAATAAATTATTATTATTATTTAGAACAGGAGAATTTAACTATGATTTTCAGCACTGCTTCTAGGCCTACGTCAAAGCCGGAGAAGCAGTGCTGAAAACGTTATCTTGTTTCTCCGGCGCCGGAGATCTAACAAGAAAATTTGTTTTTAATTCTCCTGCGGCCGGAGAACTAACGATGGTTTTCACTGCTTCTTCTCCGGCTGCCGGAGAAATAATACCAGCCATAATATATATTAATATAATATACGCAGTGGATATTTAACCGTATACGGCAGAGTATATATAGCCACTTCCGCTAATTTACCGTACAGTACTTCTGATTGGCAATTAAGTATATTTATGTAGGTGTATATATTATGTATGTTACTGTTAGTATAATATTATTATGAATGCGTTCAAAAAGTTTCGTATTGGAAACATGATTCACGGAAAATAGGTCCTATGATCAAACGGGGCTACAAATGTGTAGAAATAAATGGGATTTGAACCTATTAAAGGTTTTCTAGATACCTACACCTTAATTATGGGATTCGAACGTAATGTTGATGACATCATAAATATACTAGCCAATCAAATGTGGTATACGGTAAAATAGTGGAAGTGGATACTCTGCCGTATACGGTGAAATATCCACTCCCTATAATATATAATATAATATATACCTATATATATATATATGTCAGGGTTCTCCAAGGGCACTTATAGCCTGGCAGCCCGCCAGGCTATCGTCGAGCCCCGCCATCCTAAAATGCACCTGCCACGCTAAATACAGGGTCTCCAACCATTCCTCATTCTGCGGAATCATTACGATTTCTAGGCTTAATTTCCGCATTCCGCAGCGGCAAGGTTTATTCCTCATTTCAGTTGCACTGTACAAAATTTGCACTGATTGTTCGCATTGTTCGCTTGGACACATTGTTTTTTTAGCATTTTGTATCTGACATGTCTACGGTAAATGGAATAGCCTAGTCAGACAGGCGCTGTCTGCAAGGTGTCACGTAGTAGACCTTGTAGAGTTAAGTCTAGGGTTGAGATAGTGTTATCAGACATGAGAATATGGCCCACAGTATGCCTCAGATTGCAGGAAAATGGCTTAAATATTTCAAAAATTTTCAGGGGGGCAAGCCCCCAGACCCCCTAGCACTGGCATGCCTACGGCACGCGGGCCTGCCTGCGGCAGCCAAGGTATATTTCGCCCCCATCTCAATTTCTGAATACGCCACTAGTTACTGATCACCGCGGGAACATTCCGCATTTGGAGTTCACAGGGTTGAAGACCCTGTAAATATCATAGCCGCCATGCTGGTGTATACACAAGAAGTTCAGACAATTAATACACATTGGTCTCGATGCTACGGGTACCGCAGTACCACACACAAATACAAACAGTCTACTATCCCTAGAACCCTAAAACTAACTCTAAATCGACTCGGCTATCTTATATACGCGTGTTATAGTACCAAAATTAATCTATGGTGTATAATCTTTTGCTTTCAATATTTTGCATCTGAACTGACAATCAATCTCAACGAACTGGTGTAGGCTAGCTGGCACAATAATGTTCATTTTCATACTTCAAATCCGAGTGTTTTCTAGCTCATCAAGAAATAATTATTTTGAATTTTCCGATGGCTTTGCCCATGCAAAACAAACATTTTCACCCCACATGCAGTGCTTCAAATTTACAAACAGAGTGTCCCAGATTGCATCTCAGAGCTTCTACAATTCAAAAATTTTATGGGGGGCATGCTCCCGGACCCCCCTAGCGGTGCGCAGCACCCCCCATGCTATAATTTAAAAGCTTGGAGAACCCTGTATGTATGTATGTATTACCAATTTACTGTACGATACTATAATAGTGTAATACTAGTGTAATAATACTACTAATACTAATATACATGTAGTGGTTTATTAAATAAAGTTTATAACTTAGGTATATATATAGGACAGTCCTAGAAATGTATTTCTTGTGCTGCAATTCAACACGCTGAGAAAAATGAGATTCCAGAACGTGGCCATCATGGAGAGTTGAACAGTTAACAATTTGTAACATATGTAGATGATTTATATTAAAGTTGTGCAACGCGTAAAGTTGTGGACAGATATGGGTATGATCTCCTGGTATTATAATAGGCCAGGCTAACTTAATCGTAACCCAACCTTAAAGCCCTAGGAAAGTAATTGTTTAGAAGACCTGGCTTTGTTATGAATGTTGTTGTTGTTGTTGTTGTTGTTGTTGTTGTTGTTGTTGTTGTTGTTGTTGTTGTTGTTGCTATTGTTGTTATTATTATTATTACTGTTTTGTTGGTGTTCTTATTATGATTTATTTAGTACTAGTAGCATCATCATCATGTTCATTGTCAGAAATTAGTGTATGTGTGAGTACTGAGTAGCCACATTTATGTGAGTGTTTGTCTTTGGATGTGTATGTATCTCTGTGGTGCCTACTGCCTACGTGTGTGTGTTTTCCTGTGTGCACGACGGTGTGTGTGTGTGTGTGTGTGTGGGCATGTGTGCTGTGCGTTAATGCATACACGTGTACGTACGTAAATGTGAACGGGTTTGTGCATCTGTGCGCGTGCGTGCGTGCGTGCGTGCGTGCGTGCGTGCGTGCGTGCGTGCGTGCGTGCGTGCGTGCGCAGGTATGCATCAGTGTGTCGCACCACTCCAGCGAGCAACGCTGAATGCACTCTCACACACAGACCAGTGTGTACAGCAGTTGTTACTCTAGTTCTGCGGTGGCGAGACACTGAGAGCCAGCCGAGCTAGGTCAGTGACTGCAGCAGCAGCAGCAGCGGCAGCAGCGGCAGTGGCAGCCGCAGCAGTAGCAGCAGTAGCAGAAGTGGCAGCAGCAGCAGCAGCGGCAGCAGCGGCAGTGGCAGCCGCAGCAGTAGCAGCAGTAGCAAAAGTGGCAGCAGCAGCAGCAGCGGCAGCAGCGGCAGTGGCAGCCGC